TCGTTATAGGCTGCGATAATCTTTTTGATGGGCTCGCGGAAATTTTCTTCGATATGATTAGTTCGTAATTTAGATAGAAGCTCTGGTATACGGTTAAGATTGGATTCTACTTGTTCAATTTGATCTGATGTATTGAAAGTTTGCTTACCGGTGTTGACGAAATTAATACGATAAGGTTGATTATCAATAAGCTTAACATGGTTGATCAGCTGTCCTGGTTTGATTTCAATGTCTTCTGGTGTGATCTGTAATTCAAGCGCGGTATCGTTTAGTTTCAATTCGTTATTAGTTATATGGTATTGATATTTCTCAAGGAAAGGAAGTCCAAATATTCCGTCTTCTAGTAAGGGGAAATCATTAGGAACTATGAGGAATTCGTGGTTTATTCTAAGGTAGGGAATGTAAGTGAAATGGTGTATAGTGTGTCGGTCGTTTCCTAATTGTATAGTTCTAGGTCTGTCGAGAGGTAATTTTTGTGGTGCGTCCCGTTCCTTTACTATATTTACTCCCGCTCCGGTGTCCAGTAGAAATCGCCGCGGTCTCCCTGTTGGTGTGGGTCTGCATCGTACGTGTCGCAGTCGTCCGGGTGTGTAGTGTATTCTGTCGATTTTTCTTCTAAATTGGTCGCCTCTGGTTCCGTTAAGTTGTTCACTCGGGGGGTAGCTTGCCTGCTTGGCGGACTTGAAAATTTTTCAGCTGATAGCATTGGTCTTTGCTGTGACCGGGTTTCTTGCAATGTTCGCACGTTATTACTGCGCGTGGTTGATCGTACCTGACTTCCGGGCGTTTAGTATGTGTGAATATGTGATTTCTTCCTTGGGATGATGGTCGAATCGGTAGTTTAAATCGATTCTGCGGTTGATTGAAGTTACCACGTCCAGCACGGTCTTTTGTCCATAATTCTATGTAGGTTGCTTTGGTCTGTGCCTCGCTGAGTGTTCTCGGGTTGGATGCTATAACGATTGACCCGATCTTCTCTTGGAGGTTCATGGTGTAGGTTCTGACGGCTTCCTCCTCTTCTTCGGTGATGGCTACACGTCTTGCTGTAACATTGGAATGCTTTGCTTGTACAGCATACAGCAATTCACTCAGAACCTGTCGGAATCGTACACTGTATTGGAGCACACTTTCACCAAAACCTTGTTTAGTTGACAATAGTTTGTTTCTACATCCGTTAGTTGTGACCGGAGTGGACACTTGGGAACGAAGTACCGAGTACAGATTTTCGAATGTTTCGATATTGTGGTAGCGAATGCTTCTTTCGGCTGATTCGGTTATTTTTTCGGCCAATATGAGTTTTAGGAGCAACACAGGTTCACTACACGAGGCTTTCGCGAATTTAACTTGTTTGATGAAATCTTCTACTCCCATATCGTCCTTTCCTTTTAACGTCTTTATTGTCCTGATGATGTCCTTTGCTTTACTCACGTTTGTTGGAACTGGGGTTTTTGGTGTAGGAGGCACAGTACGTGGATGAAGTGGCGTGTCCTCTGCCTCCTCGTCGTCTTCCGTGAGTACGTCTTTGTCGGACACTCCGTGGATTCCAAGTGATGTGAAGGCTTTGCGAAATTCGTCGTTCTGGTTTTGCGCCGCATGATTGGTTGCGTTCAATCCCTCTTGTAGAAACCCGATGTCGCGAGTATTGGCTCTAACTGTTTCTTGAATTTGAATTTGGGTATCTTGTATTCTAGCCAGTTGAATCATGATGGAATCAAGGGTTCCTTGTAAACTCAAAAGGGGTGAGTCGACTTTTGGGTGGTCCATATTTTCGTCGTCTGAGGATATAATAGGTGGTGGATTTCTATATGACGTGAATCCTTTACCTGTTAAATTGTTCGTCCAGTTGTCCAGAGTGAATGTGGTACTCGTAGCCCCTGCGTGTGATGTTCCGTAGAAGATCCCTGGGCAGTTTCTTCACTCTTGAATACACTGGATCCTGGCAGGATCGCCAAATTTATGTCACGGGGGAGATATCGCGTTTAATAAAATAAATCAGTATATGTTTAACAGGAGGTATTTCACTTGCGAATATATTATTTCCCTAATAAGATCAGACCGTGGAATGATCTATTGAGGAGGAGAATGACAAACCGTGACGTTCGTTAATTGACTGAGCACTTTATTAAGGTTCTGATGGTCTTTTATACACCTCGGGAGAGGGGCCTACGTGACCCTTGATGCGTCGTTCGTGTCTTGTGTGGTCTGGCAGGATGTGGCTATCGTTTGATAAGCCTGTGTTATAGTTTCAGGTAGCTCGGCGGAATGTACTTATCGGTAGGTGTTGTTTAGACTAGGCCTGCGTCACACATCAGTCGTTGGAATGTGGGCGGTGCGTTTTTTTTTAGATCAAAAGACATCCTAACAAATTCTAAGTGTCCGTCGTACGTCGAAAAAGCTGACTTATGAACGTGATGCTCCTTGATTCCAATCTGGTTTTTGCGTTTAGCTTACGGTAATCTATAACTAACCGCCACTTTTGTTTACCGGAGGCGTCGGCTTTTTTAGGCACGATCCATAATGGGCTGTTGTATGGACTGTCACTATCTCTAATTATTCCTGCTTGCAACATGTCTGTTACCTATCTTTTAATTTCGTCCTAATGGATTGGAGGGTATCGGTATTGCTTGGTGTGTATTGGAGTTTCGTCGGTAGTTTTGATCGCATGTCCGAGGATTGAGGATAATTTCCCATAGCCGTTCTTTACCCTCAGTTAGGTGATTTAGGCGACTATTTTCCCGTAGCAAGTTCAATCTTTCTTTCGAACAGTCATTACTCTATACGAAAAACCAACTTTTCATCAAAATCTTCTATGGACTCAATTTGACTTTTTAGAAAATCGGACAGTATAGGTTGTCCAGTTGCATCAACTTTCGTGATTGCTCCGGTCCTGCTATAAAATTGACGAGCACCGTCTTATTTGTACAATTTTCGTTTCGACTATTAATGTACCACTTGGCAATGTTACCAATTTTGAATGCTTTACATAATAACGAGAAATCGTGATCAAACAAAAAGTCCGCGCCTAGTATACCGTCTTGAAGAATCGGAGAGCTATCACCTACTACGCGGAATTGATTACATTTATCATTAAAAAGGATATAGATTGAGTATAATGTGTCTGTTGTATTGTTTGTGATACCTCTGAGTGTCAATGGAGCTCCCTTGTGGAGATCGTTGTTTATTATCTGTCTTTTTTTTATGATACATATTTCGCTACCTGTATCGATGAGAAATGTCATTCTGTGCTGTGCTTACCCTGGCGTTCCTGATGTTGACCGCGTGTCTGGTGGTGGAGTATTTGGTTGAATCCTCCTGAATATTTCGCTCCTTTTCTAGTTGCATATCTTGTCTTTCTCTTCATTGCTTCGTCCAGCATTATGGTTCCGTATGTCCATATCTCTGGCAGTAGTCGCACATTTTCTTGCTCCATTCTTGTCTCACGTGTGGTTGACGCTGTTGTCCTTCTGGCTTCTACGTTCTCCAAAATCTTGACTGTTATTGCATGTACTGGAGCTCCGTATCGTACATGCGTGCGGCCTCAAAAGCTTGGTTCAACGTTTCCAATTGCTGACTGAATAAATATTGAGAAATTTCGAGCCTGACGTTGCGTGTTTTCGGGCTTGACGTCGATGTAGATTTGTAATCTCCTTTCGAAGTTTATAGCGTTCAGCAGTTCGTCGTGAATTTGGGAGAACCGGTGTATGAAATCGTTTATGGATTCGGTTGGTGTTTGTTTACATGAGTCTCATTTGGTTTTTAACACGTTCCCTGCCAGACCGTTTTTTGAAGACTTTCCGTTCAGGCCGCGTGGGGCGTATGCGCCCCACGCTTTACAACTGTATTGTTTCGTTTCTGGAGTATGCCTTACAATGATTAAAATAATGCAAAACTCATAACTGTCAAGAAAAGGGTGTATAGTTTAAGATGCATAACATAACAAAACAATAAATTAATTTTTTTAGGAATTAGTTTAATAAATACCTGGCTGAACATTACTCTACCGAGCGAGTCGCATCCTCGCGCATAATATTTTTTTATGATGTCTATATTAGTTTAAAATAAAACATTTTAGTTGAAGTATATTTAATATTATATTTATGTCATAAGTTATATGTCATATCATAAGTATATAATCAGGAAGGAATATTACGGTGAACTTTGTTAAAACATGGCAAACATAAATGTGGTTTATCCACACAATTATTACAGAATGTTGCAACTTTTACAGTACAGTTTCTTGACGATTGGGAACCGCATTTTTTAACGTTAAAACAAATCGCAGTAAAAAAAAGTGACTACCACGCCGCGTGGGGCGTATACGCCCCACGGTCCAATTAGCGCATCAGCAATAGTATTAACACGCCCATAATTGACTGCATAATGAATTTTTTAAAAATTCTTCATTTTACAACGATAATACCAAATGGCTTGAACGGAAAGTTCAATGTGGGACGCATACGCCCCACGCGGCAGGGAACGTGTTAATCATGCCGTGTCAGTTTGGGGATCGTGGTTATGGAATCTGGGCGAATTGTCAATGCGGCCCGTCCTTTTAGCTTTTGAGCTATTATGGGCAGAAGGAGCAGCGAGTGCTGATTTTGGTCTAACATAGTTGATGCTGTTATGACCGTGGTAACGAACATCTCGGCATTCGTTCCGTCAAAGTCCGGGATCAGTGATAAACATTGTTCGTACCTTTCCATTATTGGTGTGAATTGTGCTTTTACGTTTAATGGAACTGTATGAACTGGTGGATCTGGGTGTGTGTTCGTGATTGTATGTGTGGTTTGTCTTCTAATATTCTTAATTTATCGCGAATTTGCAATACTCTCCCGGCTATTAACACTAGGTTTACGGACGTTTTTTATATACCTATCTCAACGGCACCCGTCAAATTGACGGGTGAATGAAAATACGCACTTTCTTTAAAAAACCGATTTATTCAAGTTAACTCAAAATTGCACAATATTTGGCTTCACGTTTAAATAAAGTATCAAGAAATAAAAAGTCCTTTAAAAAATATCATGGAAATAATAACAATAATACTAACGGGTAATCCTACTTATTGAGTACATTTTTTACAGGTATATTGCACTTTGCCTGTGCATTTTCCGCATACCATTTCTTTGCAAGATATGCAACAATTGCTGCTTTTATTTTTGTTGCAGTAGCGCACTTGACAACTTTTTCGCTCTTGTAGTATTATAGATGATGAAGAAGCGTCTGATCGTTGGCAAATGTTCTCCTTGTTTTCCGCACCTAATTCCTCAGCTAAACTACACATGTATTGTTTCCTGGATATTGTGGCTCCGGTGCACTGTTTATATAGTATTCACGCGTTTATTGCTGCCAAATCTAATATATTGAAAAAGATTTGAGGAGGCCATCGGAAATTGCCTGCTTTTACGCTATATTTGCGTGCCATCTGGTTAACGACGTCCACTTCGAACTTCGTTTTATTATAATATGATGTAGTTTCTGGAAGACATTATTGTACACATTTGGACATATTTGTACACCTGTATGTCTGGTGCTTAGAAGGAGGACATTTATGTTCGGCTTACTTTTATATACAGTAAGGATGAAATTTTCTGATTTATATAAATCTGAGGAAAACAAAGTCATCTTATCTTTTTTTTCCTTTACGGGTTTTGGCAGTTCTCGTTTGTTTGACCGGATGGTCCCAACCAACGTCGTTTTTCGCGCAAGCAATTTTTGAGCTAGCGGGATGCTTGTAAAGAAATTATCTGTTGTTATATTCCTGCCTCGTTCTAAATATGGTTCGGCTAATGTCAATGTGACAAACTCACCCAACAATTGTGAGCTTCGGGCTTCATCTTTCCCCAAATAAGGGAAACCGTTCACAATATATTTTGATTCGACGTCAACTGCTAACCAAAACTTGATGCCGAATTTATGAGGCTTATTCGGCATATATTACGTAAATCTGCATCGAGCTTTCGTCGGAAATAACTGTTTATCTTATTGAGATGTTTTCATGTGGCTTATAACAAGCCTGTCTGTTACTTATAAATTTCCTTCATACTTCAGCGCAAATTTATCTGTTTGCAATCTTTCGGATCGTTGGTTTTTTTTATCGAAGCGTATGAATCTTAAAATTTCTGTAAATTTATCTCTGCTCATTGTGTTTCTGTCCGAAAGGGGGGCCCCATTTTTCCGACCATAGATAGGAAGCTTTCAACGATCTCGCTTCATATGCGCCCCGAGCATATAGAACTCCTATAAAACTTCGTAATTCCGCAATTGTGATTGTCCAGTCTGTTTTCAAGACGCGACGTGCCTCGGCTTCAGTGCAATCTTTTATGTGTTGCATTATATGTTTGTCAATTATCAAATCTAAAGCGCTAAGCATGCAACCCGCCATAATATTTCTTTTAGCATGGGCAGTAGGCCCTCCGACATCCTTGAAAATCATACGGATGAGCGTCCTACCTCTAGATCCGCCTGGTTTCAGTTTTGTCCACTGTGTCCCGTCAGTCCCCTAGAAAGAATACGCATTCTTTTCTTGCTCCGACGGACTGTAAATAAATTCTCCTCTTCACTATCCGAAGATAATTCTGTCCCTCCAGTTTCAACACATTGTGTAGTTTCACTGTCGGGTTCGCTTTCGCCTAATCCACATTCATTTTCTTCAGAGGAATCCTCGGAACAATCCTCACTGATCTCGAGGATTTTATCTAATATCTTATTATATCTCCTGGATTTACGCATGATTGCTAGAAAAGGGGGGTCGGTCAACATAAAAAAATACTGTGCCCTAATTCTATTACCCTATTGTAAATACCTACAATAAGCGGAGACTTTCTACAAGAACCGAAATGTTTGGACACGGTTTTTTTAAAACGTTCGTACACTGTGAATGCAGCACTCATACTGAAGATCTTCTCTTGCTCTTGAGCTCTTTTAGCGATAGGAAATAAAAGTTGCGTAGCAGACCCACATAAACACTCAGGTCATACGACCCGCTTTAGTTTACACTATCGAGACGAGATTGAGATAACGAAATGCAACCGGAGATCATAAAGACGAACGGAGATGTGGCGAACGAAGCAAAAGTCAATTCGACGGGTCCCGTAGAGATAGGTATACCATGTATGAATCTCAAAAAGTAAAAGGCTTAGGGAACAAGAACTGTGTGTATAAATTCTTTAGAAGAAATGATTAATTTACGATGCAAAACGGTTGAAATCGATCAAGCGGTTTTGGAGTTATTTCATTGCGAAGTTTGAATTCCGTCAAATTGACGGGTCCCGTAAACCTACTGTTAAATTCATGTCGAACGTATTTCCAATCGGGCTTTGTGCTCTTGACATACTGTAGGTACAGAATTTTCAAATTCGTTCCTTGGAATGTCAGTTGATACGCGTACTGTCTTGTTGCTAAGGTGGGCTGACGGGACATGCCGATGCCAATCGTCGACGTTCACCTCTATTCGTAAATATGCGCAAAAACGCCCGCTTCCTACACTCGGCCGTCCTGAGAGGGCATATTGTCGTGGAGATAACTGAACAAAGCTGGACTGGTATACCAGTTATTAACAAACAATGTGTGCTTTGTCTTAAATGTGGCTCCAGTAGCGTAACAACAATTTCACCTGAATTCCCGAGAGACTTTCCTGTTACGGTTTTTATCGCGGATTCTCTGCCTGCGTATACAATAAAATTTAAAACGTATCCAGTTTTACAGTCGTAAAGTGCAAAAGATTTGATACCAAATCTATTCCTTTTTGATGGAATGTATTGTTTGAATGACAACCTGTCATTGTATAATAATAAACTTTTATCGATGCATAAATTAGCAAACGGCCTGAAAGTATTTTGAAACGAAAGGCGAAGCGCGTATCACAAAACTCTTTTGTTTTTGCTGACCTATCGGAACTAGTTGTCGTTAACTCACTAAAATGAAGCATGCGTAATAGAAAAATATATCTGTCTCTATTCATGATGCGTCCGAAAATGGGAGTATGTAGAAATTTATCTTTTGACCAGTATTCGGTGAAATGTAACTGTTCAGCGTTGTTGCTTGTTAGTGGTGTGGCGTTTGAGCGACGTCTACTAAATGTTCCGAGAAAACCTTGCTCATTTTCTCGTGAAACACACTCTGCGTAACGCGATAGAGCGCGCTGAGCGGAAAATCTGCCGGTGGAACAGGCGATTTTATTGCACGAGCGGAGCACATTGCTGCTACGCTCAACATCCCTATGCCTCGGGTATTGACTGCAATTGGTTGCTTAGGTTTTAGATTACTTTGGAGCAATGCTGCCAGTTCATCCCGGTTGTCAAGAAGATAAGCTGATAATATCTCCTCTCGCATATTAGCCACGGTTTTGTTAGATTCTGTCTCACACTTTGACTCCATTCTGCGTTTGTCACGTGCGCGCGCGTATTCCTTGGCTTCGCACTTTTAGGCTTTAACGGCATAGCCTTAGGCTCAGTCTCGTCTACAGTAGTAAGAGATACTTCTTTATTCGCCATGATAGTAGAATAAAGTAGTGAGCTCTCCGGATATCCAGGAGAAATCAGTACGGTTGGTAGATTGGTTTTTTCAACGATAAATGCTACTAATTCCTCGGAGAAAAATAACTGGAAATAGTCTAATGCGGTAGCACGTCGACTAATTTTTTTTGTTATTCCCGAGTTACGCGGGTTAAATTTATATACTTTTGGCTTTAAATTTTTCTGCGACCAGACAATATCCTTTGGACGCCGCCTCTATAAGAGAATTAGAATCAGAAGATTCTGACGAACTCATTATTCTTTGTTGTGATTTTCTAACGCGCTGTCTACCACTCGTATTTCTCTTCAATGCGTATTCAATTTCCTGGTCCACTTCTGACTCATCAGAAATTGGTCTCTGCCTTCATTTTTGGACTGACATATTAGGGGTCAAGAATTCTACAAAATTATAAATATATGGAGCGTAATGTTAAAATAGCAATGAGAACACGTTCAGTGAGAACACTTTACGTGAGAGCAATGAAGATATATGAGAGAACGAAAATATAGTTAACAGATCCAAACAACGTTATTAGCAGGTGGTCAACAGTTGAAGCGCCACGATATTTAATAACGTCAGTATTTAAATATCGATTGTTGGGCTCCTGGTACACAGAGACATTTGGATTCTCGGTGGCTAGATGGTATTCTCGTTCTTTTAAATGATATTGCAGCCACTCAATTTGTAAAGTTAGTACTGCAATAGTACGCTTTTCAATTGAACGAAAGGTTTTTATCTGTTTAAAGATTTTCTCGTACCTTTCTTCAACTCGAGCTCTCCAATTGCCAAGATGTTGGTGTGTCAATCTGTATAGTGTTGCCACGTTGTTCGCAAGTGTAGCAACGTCTCGCCTAAGCTTTGTTATCCTGGTGGAGCGCAGTCCGGGGACTGGCATATGGATGTCAGAGATGTCAGAGTAATCTGAATCATCTTCTTGCCCACCTGGAAGGCCTTCTTTAAAAAGCCTATGAGCGATGGCGTTCTTTACACTTAGTGAAATATAGTATCCTTCCTTCTTTGCTGTCTTCTACAGACAACACATTTCCTTCTTGTCGATTTTTTCTCTGCATTTAAAGTTTTTGAAGGAAAATGTCTCTCATTCAAACGAAATGGTAGGCTTTCTACGCTTCCTTTGCCACCGCCCGCTTGTTTTCTATTTTGAGGATATTTTTGCAGAATTTATTTGTTTAGTGACAGATGAAAATCGTTATATTTTAGTTTATTACCAGTCACACATTGATACCGGACATACGGGTTATATATTGAGATGTCTACTAAATGGAAAAAATACTTCTTGTACCAGTTCAGACATTTTCTGCGTGAATTTATTGTACTTAGAACCATGTCAACGCGGTCTACAGAGCCCATTTTGATGTTGTAATCTACAACACATTCTGGTTTTAACTTGGGCGACCTTGTAAGATAATTTCTTCGACCAGATTCTATCATTTTCGGTTCGTGAGCACTTGATAATATCCATACATCTTTTCTATCTCGCCACTTCAATGCCAATAAATTATGTTTACATCTGTAGTCAAATTGCCCTTTTATCAATTTTCCATCGATATGGGGCATATCTTTTCTGTTTTTCCGTACTGTCCCAAACGCATTAGTTTTATGTTTATGAAGTACATTATACAAATGCGGGCTTGTGTACTAATTATCTGTTATCAATGTATGGCACTTTTCAAGGTATGGATGTAAAAGTGTCATAACAACATCTGCCGATTTCCCAATGGTTGTAGAATTATGTACAATATCTGTATTTTAGTTTGTTGTGCAGTCGCACCGGATAAATGATTTGATACCAGATCTACTTCTTTTAGACGGAATAAATTGTTTAAAGTAACACCGGCCTTTGAATAACATAAGGCTTTCGTCAATGCACAAATCTTTGTACGGATAAAATGACTGTGAGAAAGAGTTCTTCAGAGTATCAATTATAGGTCGTATTTTTATCAATGGATCATCACTTTGTAAGTGATGTAAAATGCAACATTTGCAATAATATCATATATCTGTCTCGCGCCATAGTTCTTCGAAAAATATCAGTTTTTAACATGTCATCAAATGTTTTAAATGTAGTATTTTCAATAACAAATTTATAATAATTGTTCGTCTCCTCAGTAATATGTGAAATTAATCCTTATGAAAAGAAGAGTTGAAAAGCATTTAAAGGCGTAGCTTCTGGAGTTAAATTTCTTTTTACTCCAGAATTGTTGTCGTTAAATGCATGTAGTGTGGGCTTGAAATCGTTTTTCGACCATGATAACGTTGAAAGCACTTCATTCAAGTCGGATCTTTCTAAATTCGAATTTGAATTTAAATCATCCTCATCGGTAGATGTTCTAAGTATTCTTTGCCGTTTATTGTTCCTTCTATATCTAACTATCCCATTATTTAGGCTATTTTCTGTA